AGAGGCTGAGGGAGCTGGGTCTCTATAGTCTGGAGAAGAGGAGATTGAGGGGTGACCTTATTAGCGTATATAAATATATAAAGGGGGAGTGTCACGAGGATGGAGCCAGGCTCTTCTCAGTGGCAAACAATGATAGGACAAGGGGCAATGGGTACAAACTGGAACACAAGAGGTTCCACTTAAACTTGAGAAGAAACTTCTTCTCAGTGAGGGTGACGGAACACTGGAACAGGCTGCCCAGGGAGGTTGTGGAGTCTCCTTCTCTGGAGACGTTCAAAACCCGCCTGGACACGTTCCTGTGTAACCTTATCTATGTGTTCCTGCTCTGGCGGGGGGACTGGACTAGACGATCTTTTGAGATCCCTTCCAATCTCTAACATACTCTGATACTGTGATACTGTGACTTCCTCTCTTTATTCTAAACAGCTGATGCATATTCAAAACTGCATTCCAGCCACGTAGACTAACCCAGGTCTCCACAATTCCAGTTCAGTCACAGCACTGTAACTGACGCAAGGAAACAAACAACACTTGCAGATTCACAAACTGGGCATTAGTGTGCAACCACTGAAGAACAGCATTTGAATGTCTCCCTTCTGAGCAGGAAAGTGAAAGATCTCTTTGTAGCCTTCTTCCTCATGTTCCTTCATTTGTGTCCTTGGTTCAGCTGTAACAGCCATTTTTCTCCTCCTTAGCAGATGGTACAGTGCCCTGTTTTTCACTTGAGCTGGGGAGAATAGTCCTACCTGAAGCCTCTGGCAGAAAGCTCCAGGGGAGACTCGAGGTTGACCCTGCGGCTTTTAGAGTCAGGGATACAGAGGACATTTTGGAATGTCACCAGAGGAGGAGGTAATGGGTGCAGAAGAGGCCCCACTGTATAATAAACTGTCAGAAAGTAAGAAGCGATATACCTTGTTTACTGATGGGTCCTGCCGTATTGTGGGAAAACATCGGAGATGGAAGGCAATTGTATGGAATCCCTTATAACAGATGGATGAAACTGCTGAAGGAGAAGGTGAATCGAGTCTGTCTGCAGAGGTGAAAGCCATCCAGCTGGCTTTGGACATTGCTGAACGAGAAAAGTGGCCAGTACTTTATGCTGACTCATGGATGGTGGCAAATGACCTGTGGGGGTGGTTGCAGCAATGAAAGCAGAGCAACTGGCAACACAGAGGTAAACCCATCTGGGCTCCTGCACCGTGGCAAGATATCGCTGCCAGGGTGCAGAACCTGGTGGTGAAGATATGCCACGGAGAAACATCAGAACAACCAACAGGCGGATAATGCTGCTAAGATTGAAGTGGCTCAGATGGATTTAGATTGGCAACATAAGGGTGAATTATTTTTGGCCTGGTGGACTCATGACACTTCAGGCCATCAGAGCAGAGATGGAACATATAGATGGGCTCCTGATCAAGGGGTGGACTTAACAATGGACACTATTGCCCATGTTATTAACAAGTGTGAAACATGCTGCAATTTAACAAGCTAAACAGTTAAAGCCTCTTTGGTATGGAGGACCACTGCTGAAGTACAAATGGCCTGGCAGACTGAGACACTCCCACCAACCTGCCAAGGCAAGCACCACATGATTACAATGGTGGAAGCAACCAACAGATGGCTGGAAACATACACTGTGCCACATACCACTGCCCAGAACACTATCCTGGGACTTGAGAAACAGATTTTGTGGCAACATGGCACCCCAGAGAGAATTCATTCAGACAATGGGACCCATTTCTGGAACAACCGTGTAGACACTTGAGCCAATAAGTATGGCATTGAGTGGGTATATCACATCCCCTACCATGCACCAGCCTCTGGGAAAATCAAACAGTACAATGGGCTGTTCAAAACTACACTGAGAGCTACTTTCAAACATTAGGATAAATTAGCTACTTTCAAACATTAGGATAAACATTAGGATACACATTAGGATGCTGGGGATGGACTCTTCATTAGGGACTGTAGTGGTAGGACAAGGGGTAATGGGTTAAAACTTAAACAGGGGAAGTTTAGATTGGATATAAGGAGGAAATTCTTTCCTGTTAGGGTAGTGAGGCACTGGAATAGGTTGTCCAGGGAAGTTGTGAATGCTTCATCCCTGGCAGTGTTCAAGGCTAGGTTGGACGAGGCCTTAGGTAATATGGTTTAGAGCGAGGTGTCCCTGCCCATGGCAGGGGGTTTGGAACAATATGATCTTAAGGTCCTTTCCAACCCTAACTATTCTATGATTCTATGATTTACCAAAGGCCACCTGGTTGGTCAGCACCAGAGGATCTGCCAACAGGGCTGGCCCAGCCCAGTCAGAACTTTTACATACTGTAGAGGGGGATAAAGTTCCTGTGGTGCACAGAGCGAATTTGCTGAGGAAGACAGTCTGGATTATTCCTGCTTCAGGTAAAGGCAAAACCACTTGTGGGATTGGTTTTGCTCAGAGACCCGGATATACTTGGTGGGTAATGTGGGAAGATGGGGAAGTCTGATGTGTACCTCAAGGAGATTTGATTTCAGGGAAAAACAGCCAGTGAGCTCAATTATATGCTGCTGCCTGCTATATAACACTTTTATAGAACAACAGCTTAATTCCCATCTCCACCATTCCGGGCTCTGAAAAGTAGGTATATGCTGTCATGATCATCAGCAGAGAATAAAGTCATGCGGAAAGCTGGCAGCAGCAGAACTGTCCTTAGATCACCATTGACTGACCCTGACTTCCCTCTGATCACCACCCCAACAAAGAATGAACTTCGATGAAACCAGATGAGCTCAGCAGTGATCAGAAGGGTTTGGCTGTGTTGTCATCAGGAAACAATCCAACTCTACACACCATCTCTCCTGCCCTGAAAGACTGCTACAAGAGATGGAGCCTGACATCATGAACTGAGTGAATTCAGTGAACTTTATAGGAACGGTCCATGGACTAAGGAATGATAATTCTATGTGTGTATGTGTATATATATATACATATGAGATAAAAAAGCGGTGGTATATGGAAAAATATGAGATCTGACCATTATGTGAATGGTATGGAATATAGGGTGGGTACTGTCCTGGGTTCAGCTGTAACAGTTATTTTTCTCAGTCTTAGAATCATAGAATAGTTAGTGTTGGAAAGGACCTTAAGATCATCTAGTTCCAACCCCCCTGCCAAGGGCAGGGACACATCACACTAAACCATGTCACTCAAGGCTCTGTCCAACCTGGCCTTGAACACCACCACGGATGGAGCATTCACAACTTCCCTGGGCAACCCATGGGTTTAAGTTTGAGCCCATTACCCTTTGTCCTGTCACTACAGTTCCTAGTGAAGAGTCCTTCTCCAGCATCCTTGTAGGCCCCCTTCAGATATTGAAAGGCTGATATGAGGTCTCCATGCAGCCTTCTCTTCTCCAGGCTGAACAGCCCCAACTTTCTCAGCCTGTCTTCATATAGGACTTGCTCCAGCCTCTTCATCCTCCTTGTGGCCCTCCTCTGAACTTGTTCCAACAGTTCCATGTCCTTTTTATGTTGAGGACACCAGAACTGCACACAGTACTCCAAGTGAGGTCTCATGAGAGCAGAGTAGAGGGGCAGAATCACCTCCTTTGACCTGCTGGTCATAGTCCTTTTGATACAGTTCAGGATACAGTTGGCTTTCTGGGCTGCAAGCGCACACTGCTAGCTCATGTTCACTTTCTCATCAACCAACACCCCCAAGTCCTTCTCCAAAGGGCTGCTCTGAATCTCTTCTCTAAAGTATAGCTGGCGTTCTTAGTAGCTGGTGCAGTGCTGTGGTTTTGACTTAAGCCTGAGAACAATGGTGATAACACACCAGTGTTTACTCTGATCAAGGACTTTTCAGCCTCATGTTCTGCTGGTGAGGAGAGCCATGGGAAGCTGGGAGGAAGCAGACAGGACACCTGACCCGAACTAGCTAAAGGTGTATTCCATACCACAGCACATCATGCCCAGCATATAAACCGGTTGCGAGTTACCCAGAAGGCCCAGATCGCTGCCCAGGTCAGACTGGCTATTGGTCGGCAGGTGGTAAGCAATTGTTCTGTTTATTATTTTTTTCTTTCCCCTTTTAGTTTTATATTCTCTCCCCTTGTTATTTCCTTTATCATTATTATTATTGGTGGTAGTAGTAGTGGTTTTGTATTATACCTTATTTACTGGACTGTTCTTATCTCAACCCATGGGATTTACATTCTTTCGATTCTCCTCCCCATCCCTCCAGGAGCTGGGGGGAAGAAGGGGGGGAGTGAGCGAGCAGCTGTGTCCTTCTGAGTTACCGGCTGGGTTTAAACCATGACCTGGGCTTTGGTCCCCATCCTTTGAATAACTTACAGTAAAGTCCTCAGCACCAGGCTGGCAAGCTTCATCACCAACAATATTCACCAACAATAATCACCCTCTCTGAGTAAGGTGAATTATATCAGTTATCCTTTTCTCCCCTCCAAATGAAGCAGAATGAACAAAGAAGCTAAACACATGCTGGAGCAACCAGCTATGCAGCCAAGGCCCAGATTCCTGACTGCATATGCTCTATCCAGATCCTTCTCCTTGATCAGAAGTACTGAGGACACCATTCAGTCCTGTGTGCTGCTCATCCCTGCCTCAGAGAGATCGATCAGCAACACCTAAACTTTAAGTCATCAAAGTCTATACAGGGAACAGGCTAAATTTGTCAAGTGCAGTTACAGCATTTCACTATCCTAGTTTTTCACGCTTCAACTGTCTATTTAGATAGTTTGCATAACTGCAGTCTAGCAGGACATGCATCACAGATTATACATCATTGCCTTGACATAAAGCTTCCTCCTTTAACTGTGATGTAAATGAGACGACTTGGTACCTGCAAGAGATACAGTCTACAGCAGAGACTGCAACATCTCCCACCCCCCCCCCCCTTTAAAAACAGAGATTATAGGCCTATTTGAGATGAACCATTTACCATTCTACTAAAGCATCACTTGGGAAGGAGTCCCCATATCACCCAACACTAAGCAGCCTACCTTGACAGTTGGAAAGCCTTGCTGCATCCGGTCTTTCACTGAGCCTCGGCTGCCTTCAGTCAGGTAACGAGCCCTGTGCTGGGTTTCCGGCTGTACCACGATCTTCAGCTCCTTCCCCTCACTCTTAGTTGGATACTGACCACACAACACTGGGGTCTTCTTCCCTCCAGCTCCTTTCTGGTTTTCTGATGCTCTGGAAAGTCAAAGCAGGCCATTAAAAAGGTGTTATAAGCAGCTCCTCAATAAAAACAAACTAAATCACAGAAAAAGCTAAAAAGATAAAGAATGTATATTAACAGATAGAAGAGTTATAGTTGAGAGCACACTTTGGAATTCTCTTTCTGACAGAGAAGGAAACCAGCAGGATGAAGAGAAATGACACTTCCCTGCCTCCTCCATCGAGTGTAAATAGAAACTGCTTTTCAAAGAGTAAATATGAAGGAAGGGAAAAGCAATTAGCATTAAACTATGTTAAACAGAAGAAGGCTCACAATCTGCTTTTTCACAGTATATGATACAGCCTGGTACTGTATGAATAAGCTGTTTCATGTCAGGAACAAATATACATAGGTACACACACAGAATGGATTTAAGGTCAAATGATATTTCTTTAAATAGGAAAACAGCCTCATGCCTGCTTCCGCCTGAACTTTAAGATATATCCTGTGTTCAGTTCCATAATTAAAACCTGAATGAAGAAGCCCTCCAAAGTATACCATTGTGTGATCAATTTTGTGTTCACTTTAAAGCACAATGGAATAACTCTTGATCTTATACAGAGCAGGTTTGTATAATGAAGTCTAATGACCTCATTTAACATCAGCAAATGTAAACATGCCATGGCAAATAGTACAGGTAGGAAAAGGGCTCAATGGATTTCCGCAAATGTAATATTCTTCTTTACTACCAAAAAGTAGTTTCTAACAGCTAATGACTCAAGAAAGCAGTTTATATAACAGGTGTGAATTGCTTAAAAAGCAAATCCTGTTTCAATGTGCAACACATGGAAGTAATTTATCCAGAATTTTTAATTCTCACAGAGGGGGGGGTGAAAGAAATGCTTTTTCTTCAAAACTGTTTACTGAGAGCTTTGCCTCTGCAAGACTTTTTCACTGACCTGAAGGCTGGGGCAATCCATAGCGCTCTCATTCCCAATTAACTGATGATTTATACTAACAAACATTATCAGCACCTTTCCTAAAACTACTGTGCAACAAATAGCACGCAGCCACATGATACACAAACATTTCCAAGTCATTCCCCAGCCCCTGCACAGACTTTCCCACTTTTCATAGCATGGTTTGGGTTGGAAAGGACCTTTAACCTCATCTAGTTCCAACCCCCTGCTATGGGCAGGGACACCTTCCACTAGACCAGGTTGCTCAAAACTCCTCCCAGTCTGGCCTTGAACACTGCCAGGGATGGGGCAGCCACAGGTTCTCCAGGCAATCTGTGCCAGCACCTCACCACCCTCATAGGGAAGAGTTTCTTCCCGAGATCTCATCTCAATCTCGCCCCTGTCAGTTTAAAACAATTCCCCCTTGTCCTGTCCCTACCTGCCCTTGTAAAACATCCCTCTCCAGATTCTTTGTCCACCCCTTTAGGCACTGGAAGCTGCTCTAAGGTCTCCCTGGAACCTCCTCTTCTCCAGGCTGAACAAGCCCAGCTCTCTCAACCTGTCTTTTCTTATGGAAGGGTCTTCTGCTCAAAGAAAGGTCAGGCACTTTGCTCCCTGATTTCACCACATCTCCTACTAAGCATCCAAAACATTTTAATACATGTAACAAAGGGTTAAAATGGACACTGCTGAGCAGCCATGAGCTCTGTGCTTTGTATGAATTTCATTCATGTTTTTCTGTTTGTGAAGGTAAACCACTTCCTCACAAACAGCCCAGCAAAGCCGCCTGCTCATCCAGCTGAGTCCAGGACAGATGGCCAGTGCATCCCTGAGCAGCCCCGGCTGCCTTGAACACTCATCCTTGACCAAGTAACAGTAGAGAGGCAGGTTCTAGATAAAAAAACAAACAAACAAACAAACAAACAAAAAAAACAAACAAACAAACAAACAAACAAACAAAAAACCAAACAGCATTAAAAAACCCCTGCAAGAATACTATCTGCCAAGGAGTCCTGATTACTCTGCCACAGTCTGGTCAAACAGGCTGTTTAAAACAAACTAAAAGACTATGCAAAAACATACTTTCTCTTGGGAAAATGAAAGGAACAAAATTCCTATTCAGTGTAGCGCAGACAAAACCTGTGATACACTAAATAAACTGTAATTAACAGCACTATGCTCCTCACTTCTGTACAAGTTAAGCAAAAACACTAATCAAACTCAAGCTCATTAGATAATCACTCTATTCTTCCTCTCAGGTCATTACTCCAATGGCCTACTAATTAAAAGGAATACGTATATGAACTTGCAGAGAATATCTTCTCTTTTTCTCCCTCAGAATTTTAAATCACAGAGCTACAACCTCTTGGCTTCCCTCAGGGAACACAAGAAGTCACAATGGGCAACCCCAGCTGCTGCAGGCACCATCCCATCCTTCCCAGCGCTGTGCCTGGGCCCCATGCTTCCTGCACCTCGTCACAGGAGAATGCTCCACAGAAAGACGTCACACAAGGATTGCTTAGTTTGACTTTGTCACACATGGAAGTTCCTGCTCCCTAAATTAATAGGAGAGACTGAGCTATTACTGAATTTCAAAGGAGAGTGTTAAGAGAGGCAGCCATCAAAACAAAATTCACTTTCAACACTCAAAATGCAATGTTTTAGCAGTGCAACATTAACACTTTGGCCTCTCCAACACAACTCTGTTCTCCTGAGAGGACTTTACCCTTAAAGCCCAAGTTACCTGAATTGTCAACATACCATTATTTAATACGTTGTCAAATTTATGCTGCCTAATCATTATTTTGAAAGTCTTCCCTCTGAAAACCGGAAGTAATCGTTACTTTCAATTAGAATAGCTGAACTTGAAAGCTTATTGTAAAGCCTTCACCAGAACTCAGTGGTCTGTCTTCTCAAATTCCAAGGATATATCATTTACACATCCTTTTAATTTAGTTTATTTATAATTCTAATATTTGTGCACATACATATAATAAAACATTTCATACACACATTTATTTACTAGTTTAACCATAACCAGACAATGTCTCTTCAAAGCAAGCACTTCTTTTCTAAACAAGAATTACAAGTAGCAAACCCTATGATTCTACTAGAACAAATTTCCTGAGTTAAGGTTTACCTGGTCTTACACTGGCATCAGGGCTGTTCCCAGTGAAGACGAGACCAAGCACATCGGAAATCTGAGCCTCTTTGCACTAAATCACCATTAATTCAACCATTTCTAGAAAGGCTTCTACAAATTACAACAGTTTCCACAGGAAACTATTCCTAGCTTTTGAAGACCACCGACTAGAAGTGTCTTTTGAGGCAAATGCTATTTCCACTTCACAAATTAGCAAGGCTGCTTTCCTTGCTCTTTTTTGAGAGGCAAAAGTAAACAAACTCCCTTGGCTGAACTCCATAGGGCTGGAAAATTAAAAAAAAAATGAACTAAACAAACCAGTCATTACTGTGACCTAGATTTGTAATGCTAAACCTCCATATCCCAGCTGCAAAATTACATTTTCTAATATCTTGGCCAGCTCTTGCCCCAGAGCTTTTATTCAAAAGGACAATTCTGTTACATAAGAGTTTGCTGCAGTTCAATCTAGCCTGCATATGACTTGTTGGGAAAAAAATTATCATCTCCCCCCGAGTTCAGAGTATTCCTGACAGCAATGATGAATATTCACTGGGTAGCCCCTAATATTTTAGGGAATACTACAGTCTTGTGATGCTTTAGATTGAGATCACAGAATTGGAGACTGATTTGGGTTGGAAAGAACCTTAAGATCATCTAGTTCCAACCCCCTGCCACAGACAGGAACACCTACTATACCAGGTTGCTCAAGACCCTGTCAAACCTGACCTTGAACGCTGCCAGGGATGGAGTATTCATACTGTTCCAGAGTTTACAAAATCTTTCCTCTCTGCCCAGAGATCACATTTACAGTCACAGGTCTTACCCTCCAAAAAAGTTTCTTCCCTTTGTAAGAGAGCACCTGACACCCTCTGATCAGTGGAGGCAGTTTCCTCCTGCCAAGCAGCTGCCTTACATACACTAATTTGCTTCTTTGGGTCTACCATGTACTAAGGTTTTACTTTATTATCAGTGATTTCAGCTGGTGAAAACAAGAGATGCTGGACTGCAGCCAAGCACTTACAACTAGGGGTTGTTGTAAGGAGACACCAGGAGACCCACCGGTCAGTGGCAGAGCCAACACTCCTGGTACCAGGCAGCTCCATGCACCCTGACATGGTACCCGAATGGCAACTCTGGAGAGTTTCTCAGAATCACTTTCTCACAGTGAAATTTTAAGTATGGAACTGCAATGACCCTGGGAATACAGACTCCAGGCTCTTTCCCTTTGGAATATGAGAAGTTAATAATATTTCCCATCAGACAAATTTTCACATTCACCATTACTGTGATGAACATTAGAACATACTGCAAGCACATAAGACTAAAGAAACCCAAAATACACCACCCCACCACCGGAAAAAAAAAATAATCAAAAAGACAAATCTATTCACTCAACCACCTTAAAAGTACTAAAAACCCCACAAGTTAAAAATAAAAATGCATCAACACACTATTGTAAACTGATGGACTTTTTCCTCTTTAAGCAACTACTGAAATGCATTTTGTGAACGGTATAAAGTGGAAGAGATGAGAGACCACCACCCAGGCATGCCCACGTACAGACATGCATGCATACAACCCAGAAGCACAGAGAGAAACAGGATGATTAGAGATTTATTTCTGAAAAAATCAAAATACAGAAGTGAATTCACAAAAAAGCCCCAAAATCTGGTTAACTAGTTCACCATATCATCTTAACATTTTATAAAAAAGTAAAGCATATGTTAACTTCAATGATGAGAAAGCCTAACAAGTCATTCACTTCTACTCCCATCACTCTATTTGATAAATAGAGGCAAACACAGAAGCAGGTAAAGTGTACAGACTGAAATCCTCACATAAAATCCTGCAAAACCCACTAAGATTTAGGATGCATCCAGTCCATTTCTGCCTTTCTTTTTAAATACATTTTCATTGCATTCTATAAATGGATTGCACAATCTTTGAGGAATTTCACTTAAACAACAATACAGATGAACTCATCAGCCCTGCGTTCAGTGGTTGTAGGGAAGTTCAGTTTTATCTTCTAAAAGATTACCAAGTCTAATGAGACCTTATCACAGGCTAGGACTCAAAAGGGAACAGCAGAGAAGGGATTTATGTGAGAACCTAAATGGAACACTTGACAGGGCATGGGGAGAGTTTTATTAGTTTGGCTTTACATATGGTGATAGGAAAAAAAAAGGCAGATACCAACCCATTTCCTGCTTTTGAGTTGCCTTTGCTGTCCGTGCTGAGTTGAGAAAGGACATAGTGAGGCGCTTTGGCGCTGTCGGCATCAAATATATCCATGTTGGACTCTTCACAATCTCGACGTTTGATCCCTGGCCTCTGCTTTGGATTTCGTTTGCGTGATTTACGTGGCACCTCAGTGTTATCATTGTAGGAACTGGTACTCATGTTACTGAAGTTGGAGGGTGAATCCTCCATCCACATACTGCAGCTCTGTTCTGACTCCAATCCACACCCCTCATCCTGGCAGGACATTTGACTGTTGTCCAGCAAGTCTTCAGGTGGTGGCGAGATGTACAGGACTGTGTGTCTCTTCGGCGTTGACTGCTGCTGCTGGACTGCATTACTGGTTAACTGCTTTCCACTTACCCCTCTGGTACTTACCACCACAGCTGAGGAGCAGCTCTCCACTTGCATAGCCTTGCTGCCAGTGACTGAGGTAGAGTAAATGGTAGGACTGGATAAGGTGGTAAAGGAGCTGCAAGCACCGCCCATGGAGGAAGAGGAAGGAGCTGAAGAAGCATCTGCGGTGTATAATTCATAAGTAAATACAAGATACATGGTTCTGTGTGTGCTGGCTATAGCAGTCCCACTGACACAAAGTGATTTATGAACAGATTTCTTTCCCCCAAGTATTTGGAATTTGGTGAGTTTTAGAATGAATATGCTTAAAGCAATACAGCCTAACCAATACAGTACTTTGGAAATGCCCAAATGAGATTTAGTATGAGCCACTGGAATCACCTTTTTTAAAGCTTAATTCATAAAAATGGCTGCAAGAAAACACAGTTTTCATTGCCTTGGCTGGACTAATTATTTGCGTAGAAGCCATTTCATCCAAAATAATGTAAGCCCCAATGAAAAATGCTTATAATCCACATTCAATGCTAATTAAACCATTTATTGTTGGACAATTTTTTATTTTTGAAAAAGACGGGACTGTGTTTAGCCACAAAATATTAAAATAAGTTTCTAACCTATGAAGCAGAGAACTACAGGTCATTTTTAATGCAGACACTCCCTGCTTCAGAGGCAAATCCTGGAATAAAAATATGAGAAAATAAATGAGAAAAAGAACTGCTGATTATTCCATCATAAATGAGAAACAAAATATAAAATCAACTGCGTTGGTAGGCAAAATGGAACTGGTATCGGTCACTATGACACAGCTGTTTGTTTTGAAGGTTCAAAATGGGTGAAGAAGTATCTTCATTGGTGACATGCTGATACAAGACAATGTGAAATTTCTGTAATTTGACTCTTTCAGTCACTGTTTTTTCTCAAGACTTTATCAGCCGAGTCCCTTATGCAGACAGAGACAGCTTGGGACAGACCTCTGAAAAGTTCATATGAAGCAGGTTATTTTAAAGAACATGATTGTAACTCCTCTGGAGTTCAAACAGATGAATCTAGTTTAGAAACATGAAAGGACAGCTAAATTATTAAAATAAACCCCTGAAATATTTCTGGACACCAACAGAATAATTTCCACTGAAGAATTTTAATGGACAAATCAGCTGAAAGCCTAGACTGAAATATTTCAGAGGAAGCAGTATGAACAAACATTAAGTCTTTATTCCTCAGTGAGCTGCAGCTGATTTAAAGAAATTTTATAGTCAGATATAAGCCTTCTGCATGGGAGATGCTATTTTCTGTATGTCTGCCCTGCTGACCACACCTTGCACAATAAACCAGAACCACAGAAATAAACTAATTTTTGAAACAAACTGTACATAATATATATACATACTTATCCAATATGTTTGTTCAGCTAGTTACTGGTGTCCTAGGGGTAATACCTATTAAGAGGAGCATAATATTTTCCTTCTCCTTGAGTTCTTTTAATCCAAAATATTAATTTCTCAAGTCTAAAAAGTGTAGAGATAGTTGAACTATTTTATCCAGTTTAAGCAATTTAAAAGTAACAGAATAAAGTATGTTCAGCCATCATATATATAGACATATATTTAGTGCTAACAGCAAAACATAGCAAACCTTCCTATAAATCAGCCTACTTGTGATTACCAGGGACATCAGTAACTGATGAGAAAGAATTTTTAAACCAGTACTGTTTCTTACAACTTTTCTGTGCTAAATGAATTTAAAAGTAAACTTACACTACTTCAGATTGTCAAATTTAGTGGTCGTTACAGTTTATCCATAACCTATTCTGCTTTTATCTTCATAGGAAGTCCCTTCCCCAAACCTCCCAGTGAAGCAGGAGCAGGTGAATGATACCAGTTCCGTTTTTCAGTTTGTTCTTTGGCAAATATAGTGGCTGAAATTGGGAGAATTCAGTCACTTTGAACTGCATTCCAATTTAAAGGCAAATTTATCCTTTCTATATCATGCATTAATGCAATGCTTTTTTTTTTTTTTTTTCCCAAAGACACAGGATTGGCAAGAACTATTAAATCTAGATATTAGTTTCAGTTACAATATTTAGAAGCCAATTTGCAGCCACTTTGAGTTCAGAAAGACCTTTGCTATTTGGGATGTTTGCTTTGTTAAATACAATTAGTTTCCATTCATGATTTATACACTCAGAAAGAAATAGAAATATGCAGCACGCATACAGCATATATGCTGCATGCAAGCGTTGGCAAACACATGGCACACATGTCAGTAATGCTGCAGAACTGGATTACTGAACAGCAGTATTTCCCCCATTTCAAATTAATTCTTCTTTAAATGGATGAAAATGAGTATTATGCACAGTACAACAGAGTGTATGCACGTCTCATGCTTGCCTGTGCACGAAAAGACTTTGACAAATCAATAATAACATTGAACCAGGTAGCAGGGCTCTTGAATTGGAAGACTTCCTCCAAGAGATTAATATCAAAGACTTATCTTTTTGCAGCAAATATGGGGATTGTTTTAGAAAGTCCTTTTAAGAGACCTGGAAGAAAAATTTAAAAGGGACATGGTCTGCATTAGAACAGGTATGTCAAACACTGATCATACCCTGCTGATCAAATGGTTCAATGCATATCCTGCCCAGAAATGAAGAAATTGTACTTTTCCTCACTTTCCTAGGGAAAAACAAACAAATGACTGTTTCCACCATTTTATCTCCTCCAGATTTTTTCCCCCTAGAAGTTAAAAAGCATGTATGTGCATGAGTATGTGTATTTTGTTTGTACATTCAAAAAATATATACTAGACATTATAAATTAGTTATACTCTCCTCCATTTACCAGATACACCCCTGTGTAACAGTAAGATTAGATTATCAAAACAATATCCAGTTAAACAGTAATAGCAAGCAAACCTCTCTCTTTAGCCTTATATATTCTCAGATGAATGTCATTACCATCCATAAACATACAAGTGTTTTAAAGCATGTACAGGCAAGTGTCTTCTCTTATAATTAACAGCATGTAACAAAGTATGACAAACGTTACAGCCAATGAAATAAACTGGCTATATTAAACTTGTGTATTTGATTGTTCTAAAGTCTATTTTGGGGGATAAATTAGTAATTGCCTTAGTACTATTTTATGTTATGCAAGTACTGAGAAACATAGTAAAATGTATGTTTTCTCATGGAGTTTGCAGGCCTTTAGTCAACGCATCTTCCTTTGAAGTGATAAGTAAATGGGGTCAAAAAGAATTAATGAAGTTACTGTAAAGAATAAACCACTGGATGTTTCATGGGTCCCATTTTGTTTTATCAATTTACTCTAAAACCAGTGACAACACATGCATATCTGATACCCAAAAGAGATCTCTTGGTTGAATATGCTGCATTTGGAAGGGTTAAAAAAAATATTATTTATTTTATTCTGAAGTTTTCAGTAATTAAAACTTGACTGGCAGTGCTTTAAAAGGGGAGAACATTTTACATTTCCTGGTTTTGAGGAATGAAGTTTTCCCCAACATGCAGATAACCATCCAAATATAGACAGTGACTGTTCAGTGCGGGGTGTACCTGTTCAATGATCTCTCAAGTTAGAATGGAAACATACTCATCCTTCCCCAGTTCCAGCATTTCTTTTATTTGAGGTTACTTTCTTCAGACACATATAAATGTTAATTGTTACAGGTGGCTCTTTCATTTGCAGCTTAACAGTGCTTGTAACGACAAATATAGTTTAAGTGAGTAGATAGGCTTTGAAATATAAGACTGAATATGTTTTAACACAGCCTCAAAATAAAAATTGCTTTTCAACACTGAACAGAAGCCAAGTGCATGTTATGGCAAGTATGCAGCCTCAGAATTAGAAATTAAATGTGTACACCAGCATCACAAGGTAGGGTTTGGTTTGTTTTTCTTTTTTTAATTGAAAAAAAAATGAGAGAGAAAAGAAAACTACTTCCACATTAGTGCAAGTTTGATCACTGTTGAAACTAAACCTCCTGAATCCATTCATTGCCATCACAGTAACGTGTAAGGTAGTTGAAACAAGTAATTCAGAATTTGTTGCCTGTCCTACAAGCTATTTTTTTCCTCTAGGAGAGGCAGAATGGTATCAAACAGTTCAGCGTAAGGAAGCCCTGGTTCTGGTTTGGACTTCATAATTTGCATCAATAATAAGCAATTCTGTAATGTGGAAATGAAAGAGGGGAAATAACCAAGAACTAACAAAGTGCATAGTGCTGGAGTTCAGAACACAAATAAAGATAACCAATTACTCTGTACAACTCCAAGGAAGACTACATTTCAAAGAAATTCCAGCTGTTCATGTTACAGAATCATAGAATAGTTACCAGTCATTGTACACTTGCCTCCCAGAAAATCTAAAGAGGTGCCTATTGCCTATTGCTCCCAAGCATTCACCTCACTTTCAGGCAGTGAACAGAATTAAATTCACAACCAAGAGACTGAGTGATTCAGGTTCCTCTGAAAACAAAAAGCAGCCAAAAAAGCAGGCAGTGAAAGAATGGATGCAACACATGTGGCACAAATGCACGCTGCTAAAAGTCATAAGCTAATATAATGTCAGAGATAGCTTCTAAAAAAAAAAAAAAAAGAAAGGTCTGAAAGGCAGGAAAAAAAATAAAAAAAAAAATCCAACCTTTGGTGAGGCACTGGAATAGGTTGCCCAAGGAGGTTGTGAATGCTCCATCCCGGCAGTGTTCAAGGCCAGGTTGGACGAGGCCTTGGGTGATAGGGTTTAGAGCAAGGTGTCCCTGCCCATGGCAGGGGGTTTAGAACTTGATGATCTTAAGGTTCTTTCCAACCCTAACTATTCTATGATTCTATGAATCACTACTTGGCATTGAAGGAGTCTTATCTTCAGATAACACTTACATGGAGCCAATCCTGAAATCCTTGTTTGCTCTTTCCAAAGAGATCCTTAAATACAACAAGGATTACCAAGTCCTCCAAAAGAAACAAATAGTGTCCTGATGACTTTTTTTTCTTAATTGCAGCTGGAGTGCAAAGCAAGTAATTTCCCAGACTGGAAAGCTTAAGACTGTGAACACAAAGTGGAGATATTTTGGGGGTTACAAGTTTTTCAGCCACCTGTGCATGAACAGCCAGGACTAGCAAAAAGCCATTCAAGAACTCGCCTCT